GAACTCCTGACCTCAGGTGATCCACCTGCCTCAGCCTCCCAAAGTGCTGGGATTACAGGTGTGAGCCACCGCGGCTGGCCCAGTGGTTGTTTTTTAATCTGCTTTCCTCGTTTCTCAGGGTCACTTCCCAAGAGAAAGCACTATTAAAAGTCTGGTGTAGCTCCCACTAGATGTTTCTCCATTTATGAGACATGGTCAGATTACTTTCCCCCTAGGCTGTGGCCTCCTACCGCCTCTTTTGGTTTATCTGTGTCTCCTGAACATCGAAACTGCCTGGAGCTCCACGGGCTTCCTTGGGGGACCAGTGGGACCCACCTCCCCTGGTCTTTCTGGGTCTGTGTCTTCTGCAAAGGGTCAAGGAGTCTGCTCTGCAGCCGTGTAGTCTGCTCAGTCACTAAGTTCAGCACAAAAGCAGCCACAGACTATATATACCTAAGTGAGGGTGGCTGTGTGCCCATCAAACTTTATTTCAGACACTGAAATTTGAAGTTTGCATTTCATGTAATTGTCACATGTCATGAAACGTTTGGAGTTCATGTTTAGCCTGAGGTTCCATATAAGAACAGAAGGGCGTGGGATCTGGCTTGTGGCCTGTCCTTTGCTGTCTCCTACCCTGGCTCTCTTCCTTTCCATACAGGCCCATTATTCATGCTTGCATTTGCTCTTTGTTTATTAAAATTCCCCAGCTCTTCGTTTTAAAAATGTCATTGGGATATATTTCCAATAGAGTGGCTCTCTCAACTCTGAGTTTCCCTGGTTCTTCCCAAGTCTGCACAAACAAGAAAAGTTGGGTGAAGGGAGGATGGAGGCTCCCAGCTTGTCTGTTCTGCAAAGGTCTGGAGATGAGGTAAATGCTGAGGGCTGGGCCGCCCCACTGGGGCTGGGGCACATGGAGAATGTTTGGCACAAGCCCTTGCGAGGGTTCTGGGGCATCAGTCACGGCCAGAAAGACAGCACAAGTCATGCCCGGACTGGGCCGGGTGGGCCATCCCTTCTGGTGGGGCTTGTGTTTTTGCTCCTGTGGCAAAGTGCTGCAATGACATTCCAGCTCTCCCAGGTTTATGCCCCACCATGGGTTTGGAATAGAGAGGCTTTTCTGGTTGTTTGTTTTACTAAGCAACATTTAGGACACATTTTTTAACTCCCTGTGGACAAGCAATCCTTCTAACAGAGCTCCTCAGCTGTTCCCAGTTATTTTTGTAGATGGTTTCGTGGACGGTGCAGGTCCCCTGAGGGGTCCCTTCCTGGACACCCATGTTCATCCACTGAGGGCATCTGATCTCTGACTTCTGTCCCCACATAGGGGCAGACAAGTAGGTCTGACGCCTCCTGAGCCAGCAAGCTGCTGTGCTCCCTTGTTTTTTTTACCAACCAGACCACTTTTGGGGGCAGACATGTGTGTCGCTAGGTCTGTGTTTGCGTGTCCGAGCCTCAGGACCACGTCCAGGAAAGTTAGGCTAATATGGTTTACAGGAGGTAATTCAGCAGCACAGCCACTGCATTCCGTTCTGCTTGTGTCACTACATGGACCTATGTACTTCAAAAACACAAACAGAGTCTAGAAAAACTGGTTAAAAATCCACACAATTAGACTTGGAGATAGAGTCTTTCCATCCTGTATGTAATCAAGAGATTTAAAAGTCAGGCACCTTTTGTCGAGCCTTGTAGACTGGGGATTTCTGTTAACATTTCAGTTGGACGCTGTGTCCGTGAGGAACTCTATTCTGCTAGTTGTGCCAATCAGGAAATTTCCAAAGGGGGCTTCTGGTGCTGCCGGCGATTAGTTGTTACTTCTAAACGATTGTGATGATACAAAGCACTCGAATAGCCAGTCCTTTCCATGTTAGAGCTCTTGAGAATCTGAAAACCCCATCTCACCTCCCCCACGGAGGTACCAGCCCTCATTTAAACGCTACGCTGTGACCAAAAGGACAAAGGTGCCTGACTGGGTATTAGGCCCGGGAAAGGCTCAGTGTCAGATAAATGACTACGTTGTGTCAGCTTCATGTGTCCACAGAGGAGCGGGCTGGGAGGGGACAGCAGGCACTCTTGCGAGACTGTAAATCGGCTGACCAAACAAGGCCATGCACTGAGGGTGAGGGGACACAGTCTCTCCCCAACAGCAAAGTGACTGACAGATGTCAAAGGAGCTGGACTGAGGTGTCTGGGAGAGCTCGTGCCCGTGTGTTTTGAATATGGGTATGCACAGACGAGTGGAAGTGGCTGCAGTGGCTCATGCACCCGCACACACCAGTGCGTCCTTCCTAGCTCTTTCCACTGACGGGCCCTAGAAGCAATGAAGCTCCGGGAGCAACGAGCCCAGGTCCTGGTTTGTAAATACCGTCAGCTCCTTTGATTCCAGAGCTGGGCAGGGAAGTACAAAATGAGCTCAGAACAGCTGATGATGCCAGAGAGCAGGAAGACCTCAAAGAATGGTGGGGCTGTGTCAGAAGCAGGAGTAGTTTACAGGAGCTCATACTGGCCAAACCTGGGGGCTTGAGCATCACAACCAGTAGTGATCTTAAACAGGTTACAGCCTGTGGAATAAACAAGTGACTGTGAGTGGATACTGATACAAATGAATAAGGGAAAAGGAGAAGCTCTTTCTGCTGGTAGAAAGTCAACAGATACGGGAGGAATGATGGAAACGGAAAGCCACCTTTTGGGACCCTCACTGTCGTTGGTGTTGCCATGAGCCATCGTAGGGTCTCAGACTCGGGGGTGGACAGTGGTCTCAGGACATCCCATGGAGCACAGTGGTGGGGCCACGTCTGAGACGCACAGGCAGCATTTCCATGGGGCTCCAAACCTGGCATCATCTCAGCATGGACATGTAGCGTTAGGCCCAGATTCAGCTAGATTCAGCCATCGGTGGTGCCAGCAGCTACACCCAGGCTGTCAAGACCGGCCATGCTGGGGCCTGAGGGGACAAGGGAGGAGAGACGCAGTTGGGACAGCTGGGGACATCTGAAGGGAGAGGTATGTTTTGGTCACGGAGGAGATGTGCTCAGTTGGGGAAGAACCCTGTGTGTGTCCAGGGGCGAGGGGCATCATGTCTCAGCATGGCGCAACACAGAGGGAGGTGACAGGCGGTGTGAACAGGCGGCAGCTTCTCATTCTCCTCGTGTACTGTTTCTGTAAATTCAAAATTACACTCAATGTTAAACTTTTTTTTTGCAGACAGAGTCTTGCTCTGTCACCAGGCTGGAGTGCAGTGGTGCAATCTCGGCTCACTGCAACCTCTGCCTCCTGGGTTCAAGCGATTCTCCTGCCTCAGCCTCCTGGGTAGCTGGGATTACAGACTCCCGCCACCACACCCAGCTAATTTTTGTCTTTTTAGTAGAGATGGGGTTTCACCATGTTGGCCAGGATGGTCTCGATCTCCTGACCTCGTGATCTGCTCGCCTTGGCCTCCCAAGGTGCTGGGATTACAGGCATGAGCCACCACACCCGGCCTCAAATTAAACTTTAAAAACACAACTGAGGCTCAGAGAGTTTAAAAGGGATTTCTCAAAGTCATATAGCCAATCAGCAGCTAAGTGGGCTGAGGTAGGACCAAGGCCCCTTGTCCTGGGCAGAGCAGCTGCACTGGCCCCAGGGCCCCGGCAGTACCTGTTCACTTGGTAATGGTTTTGATTGTCTAACACAAGTGAGATCATACACATGGTAACATGTGGAGAACCTAGACCAGTGTCTGGCACAGAGGTACCTTTCTATTTGTCAGTTTTCTTTCTGAAATGAGGGTAGACCATTGTTCTTCCCAGTGTTCCTGCTGTAGGCATTTCTAAACCTTTCTCAAGTTTGTCACATTTCTCTCAGAAGTCTTGTGCATGGAGAGCAGCACTCAGCTCTGATCACCCCCGACATACCTCTCCTGCCTTACCCCACAAAAAGTACCTCATCTGCACCCCTGCCCCGGAGGTCAGAAACTCTCCACGCCCCACATCCAGCAAGCCCTGATGCCACTCCCCCAGAGCACATCCGTCACTCCAGTGTCACTCAGCCATGGTCCCCCTGCTTTCTCCCACATCTCACCCACCTGTCCAGTCCACTCTCCACGCAGCAATCAGTGTGATCCTTTCCAAACGACATCAGGTGGGGGTCTGGGGACCAGCCTGTGTGTCCTGCCCTACCCTGCTCCCAACTTCATCCTTGCCCTTCTCCCCAGCACCAGCAGGCGGTAACGGGACTGACGTGCATTCTGAAGGAATCACTCACTGCTCCCAGTTTTGGAGCTCTTATTAATGAACATTTGCATGCAGTTTTTTTGTATGGACATATGTTTTCCTTTCTCTTGGGTAAATATGTAGGAGTAGAATTGCTGGATCACATAGTAGGTGTATGTTTAATGAATGTTTAATGGGTTTAATGTGGCAAGAAGCTGCCAAATTTATCCAGTTCCTAGCAGCAGTGTATGTTAGTTCCAGTTGTTCTACATCTTCACCAGAACTTAGTATTGCTCTCTTTTTTATTTTAGCCATTCTGATGGGTATGTTGTGGCATCACCTTGTGGTTTTAATTTGCAATTCCCTAATGACTAATGATGTATCTTCTGCACATTTAACCAAATAAGAGATGTGCAAAACATACGTCACTAGTTTGGCTTAAATCCTTTGCCCATTATTTAAAATTGGGTTGTTAATCTTCTTTTTACTGAGTTGTGTCCTTCATATATTCTGGATACAAGTTTTTGCCAATATTTTCACTCAGTCTGAGGTTGGCCTTTTTCTTTTTCTTCTTCTTTACAATGGCTTTTAAGAGTAGTAGTTTCTAATTATGATGAAGCCAGTCTGTCAATTACCTAATTTATTTTTCTCTTATGGTCACTGCTTTTTTATTTAGTTAGTTTTATTTATTTATTTTTTGAGACGGAGTTTTGCTCTTGTTGCCCAGGCTGGAGTGCAATGGCGCAATCTCAGCTCACTGCAACCTCTGCCTCCCAAGTTCAAGCAATTCTCCTGCCTCAGCCTTTGGAGTAGGTGGGATTACAGGCGTGTGACACCATGCCCAGCTCATTTTTTTATTATTAGTAGAGACGGGTTTTACCATGTTGGCCAGGCTGGTCTCAAACTCCTGACCTCAGGTGATCTACCCGCCTCAGCCTCCCAAAGTGCTGGGATTATAAGCATGAGCCACCATGCCTGGCCTGCTTTTTTATTTAAGAAATCTTTGGCTAACCCATAATTACACAGATTTACTCCTATGTTTTCTCTCAGAAGTTTTACAGTTTTAGCCCTTACATGTCCCTTTTTTGAGACCAGAGTCTCAGTCACCCAGGCTGGAGGGCAGTGATGCAATCCTGGCTCACTGCAACCTCCACCTCCCAGTTCAAGCAATTCTCGTGCCTCAGCCCCTCAAGTAGCTGGAATTACAGGCACATGCAACAGACACATGGCTAATTTTATATTTTTAGTAGGGAAGGGGTTACACCATGAGACCATGTTGGCAAAGCTGGTCTCGAACTCCTGGCCTCAAGTGATCCACCTGCCTTGGCCGCCCAAAGTGCCATAATTACCAGTGTGAACCACTGCGCCCAGCCCCTTACATTTCTATGTATGATTCATTAGAGTAAATTTTTGTATATGGTATACAGTAAGCACTGAAGTTCATTTTTTTTTTTTAACAAGTGGATATCCAGTTGGCCCAGTGCCAGTTACTGAACCATCTAAGGTAAATTTTGCCAGCATCTTATGCCACGGTGTGACCTCACTGATGTCATCTCTCTATAAACCTTTCAAAACAGAAAATGTTACTAACATGCAAATGAAACCAAGATGATTGAATGGGGGAAGGAAGAGTCTTTTCAACAACTGGTTCTCAGATAACTGGATATTCATGGATAAAAGA